GGGCCCGGCCCCCGCGGCCGCTCCCGCCGCCCTCAGCTCCAACGCCATCAAGGGCCCCGGCGGAGCGGGCGCCAGCGCCGCCCCCGCGCTCGCGGCGCCCTTCGACGGCAGCAACAAGGCGCCCCCGGCCGCCACGCGACAGGTAGGGGCCGGGACCCCACCGCGCCGCCCTCCCGTACCCCTCTCTAGAGACACCTCGGCGCTCACCGCGCCGCTCCCCGCTGTTCCGCCCCGCTCCTTGCAGCCCTTCCCGTGCGCCGAGGACGAGGACTGCGGGCCCGACGAGTTCTGCGGCGGGGGGTCCCGCGGCGGCGCCCCCCCGCTCTGCCTCGCCTGCCGCCGCCGCCGCAAGCGCTGCCTGCGCGACGCCATGTGCTGCCCGGGCACGGCCTGCAGCAACGGTGAGGGGCGCCGCGGGCGTGGGGGCACTTGGGGTGGGGCGTGGGGGCACTTGGAGTGGGGCGTGGGGGCACTTGGAGTGTGGGGTGGTTGTGGGGCCGGTGGACGGGGAGGATGGTTGGAGGTTATTTGGAAGGTTCCCAGCTTTGGAAGGGGGGTGGTTTCCAGTTAACTCATGACACCCGCGCCCCCCCCCCGGCCCGTCTGCCTCGCAGGCATCTGTGCCCCCCCTGAGCCGCAAACCGGAGTCACGGAGCTGGACGAGGCCGTCGCGGAGACGCTGCTGTCGCGGCGGACRCCGGCACCCGCCTGGCTCCCGGCTGCCAAAGGTGAGCGCCGTGGGCAGGGGAACGTCCTTGGCGGGGAGGAAAACCCTCCTGACGGTGGGGATGCTCCCGACACGGGGCGGGTCTCACCGGTCCGCTTCACGCCAGGGGAGGAAGGGGACTTCTGCCTGCGCTCGTCGGACTGCGCGCCGGGGCTCTGCTGCGCCCGACACTTCTGGTCCAAGATGTGCAAGCCGGTGCTGCGCGAGGGCCAGGTCTGCACGCGCCACCGGCGGAAAGGTGCCCACGGGCTGGAGCTCTTCCAGCGCTGCCCCTGCGCCCAGGGCCTGGCCTGCCGGGCGCAGCGCGGCGCCGACGCCGCCGGCGCCTCCCGGCTCCACACCTGCCAGCCCCACTGACCCCCCGCCGCCAGCCGAGAAGGGGCACGCGCCAAGGGACGCACGAATGCCACGCGGGATGCGCCCGGCGCGGCCTTCACCCTCCTCTTCCTCCTCCGGGACGTCCGGAGCCGAAGGTTGTTTCTCTAGGGAACTTCTTTGTGTTTTTGGTTTTTTTTTTTTTTTTTTTTTTTGTTTTTTTAAAAGCGACTAATTGCAGTACGTTACTGTGTTGTGAATACTTGAGGTGGCACTTAGCTATATATATCTATGTATATATAAATATATATATATACGTGCGTGCCAGGACTTTTTTTTTCCACGGTGATCCGAAGGGTGCCGCCTTGGGCTCTGCAAGCTCCTGACTGTGACTTTGTACACACTGGGTTTTTGACATCTGCATTTCGGTGCACGGACCTTCTGGGTGCAAGCGAATAAAAGGTTGTTCAATAAGTGGAGCCAGCGTGCTGCTTCATCCCCACACGGGGCACCTCTTCCTCCTTGCTGGAAGAAGCATCTGGATGGCTGCTGTGGGCACCTCAAAGCTCAGGGAGGGCTTGTGTTGTTCGGGGCGGGAGCGGGGCTTCTCCATCTACCTTGACTTGGTTACCCCTGGGTTGCCAGAAGTCAGGGATGATCTCCATCCAACCTGCTTGACCCCAAGCACAAGGTGGTACCAGGTCCACCATGCTTGTGGACACGGTTCCTGCTGCACTTGACTGGCGCCACACAGGTGAAATGAGACATGGGGCGGCAGCACAAGCCCAGCCAGGACCTCGGCTGCTCTTGGCCTGTTTTTGCACTCATGCCCTTCCCTTCCCTGCTTTCCCCATGTCACACACACATACAGCTGCCCCCTCTCCCCTGYGAAGCTGCACTTTCCCCATCTGAGATGGAGTCTGTGCAGCTTCCTGCTTGCTGCTCTTCTGCATCTAGGTACCTCCCAAGGTAAGGTCTAGTAGGATGAGAAGGTTTGTAGGGCCAAATCCCTTCATGCTTGATCACATAGGAGGCATTCGTTTGCCGTGTGGGAGATTGAATCCACCCCCATGGCCTCTTGGGGAGCAGCATTTGTGGCAAAGTATGTTGGGTGAGGAACGCATCTAACAGCCAACCCCACACCACCTGTAAGGACAGCAGAGGCTTTAGACGGGTGCTCTGCCCCTCTCAAGGTCCAGACAGCAGTGAAACATCTTCCTACCTTGTTTCTAAAACGTGGAAGGAAGCTCTCCTGCACTTAATCCCCTCTAAAAGATCCCTTGTGGACTAGGTAAGCTGAGAACATCCGCTGCCAAGGAKCTTCAGGGGCTTCCAGAAGCCAAGGTAGACATTTTGCAGCACCTCCTGGCCCCTTGTGAATTTCAGTCTGGGCCATCAAAGGCACATCAGAAGCGTGGTCCAGAGTCACATCACTTGTAAAATACTTGATCTGCGCTGGTTGTAACTTCTCCTAGTTCCAAGCCCGTGTTCCCACCTGCCTTTACTTTCGGTGCTTTTTCCCTCTGGTGATGAACTGGTTGGGCTGAGAGCCAGAAGCCCAACTTTCCTCCACCTCATTAATCAGAGCCAGGGGTTGCTAAGGGCTCTTTAACTGTCCTCCTCCTATTGTGAGCAGCAGATTGAGTGTTGACACTGGCTGTAAATTTGCCCGAAGCGCTAGGCACCTCCCGTATTTTCCTCAGCTGGCTGAGGCTTCAGTGGAGGTGAAAAACACAGCTCCAAGAGATCTGTCACTTGTCAGCTTCCTCATAGCCTGGGGGAGCCACCAGGCCTCCAGAAGCTACGTGAGAACCTTCCCTTTGCAAGCTCCAAATGCCCTAGTGCTTTACCCYAAGATGAAACCTGCTTACAGAGCAGGCTCCTTTGGCGAAGCAGGAGGAGGGTTGTACCTTCTGCAGCCCATCCTGTGAGCATGGGTGCTSCAGAAATGCTGTGACCTTAGGCAACACTCACATGCTGCTTAGTTAGGGACCTGCAGTGCTGCCCTKGAGCATGGGATTACTCAACACTACTTGGAGCAGTAAACATCTGGCATTACCTGCTCCAGACAAGCTATGCTCAAAGCCTTTGAAGTGCCCATTACACATCTTTCGGGGTCTTAATCAGATCTTGCTCACACCCTGGTTCTATTTATTCTACATCCTCCTCATGGGCTTGATGGCACTCCAAGTCCCACCTTGCTGCAGAAAGCAGGACCCAGGGCTTGACTTTCTGCTGTGTCTTCTGCACTCTGACTTCCTCCTCTTCCTCAGCCCCAATGCATGGGCATTTTGGTGGCCCTTCTCCCATGGGAGAAGCAGTTCAGCTGGCACCCCAACCTGGATGGGCACCTGACACAAGTCATTCCTGGGCTAATGCAACCTTCTTGCATTTGATCCTCTACCTTGTCCTACGGTAAGTGAAGCCAGCAAAGAGAAGATATACACTTATTGCTCTCCCCAAGATAGGCACACCTGTAAAAATGTTAATAAGGATATATATGTATAAGCAGAAACATTAAATATTGTTACCCATAAGAATAAAAATGGAGCATTGTAAAGTTACCTGCATGATGCAGCAGTAAACAGGGCATTTGGGTACAGCCCTCACCCTGGTGAACTTCCAAATGGGGCATCAGGGCCTCAGAGATGGGACATGACCTATAACCTTAGAGGTGACACATTATATAAACACTAACAGGAGCCTTCTAGGGGGGCAAATACCTTTTTTTTTTTTTTTTTTTTTTTTTCCCCCTCTCCAAATTGTCCTTCCTAAATTCCTTGACAAGCTAGTTTCACCTGAAGTGGTCGCACAAGAAGCACCCCATGATACACTTAACAGCTAGGGCCAGAGCCTCCTATAGCAACAAAAATACACCCACTGCGGACATTTCATGTGCTTTATACGCTAAAGCATGGCAGAATCCTTCCAAAAAAACCTTCTTTTGCAGCAGGCYTCTCTGCAACTACAAACACTTAATGTAAAAAACTCCTAGATCCACACACGAAAGCTGCAAAGCAAGAAGCTCCCGCCAAGACTTGGATCAACCCACAGGCAACTACATGGGAAAGTTTTTCTACTCCTTTCCCTCCATCCAGGAAAACTTAACAAATCAAAGTAAAAAAAAAAACAAAACAAAACAAAAAAAACCCACGAAAGCCTCAAATTGAGAAAGCAGGTAGAAGACAGGGATGGAAAGCAATAGAAAAGGCTCTTTTTTGGTTTGTTTAAACTTGTTTTTGGAGGTAAAAGGTAGTTGAGAAGCCTAAGAAGGGAGCCGCTTCTTGGCAGAGCTGCTAATCTGGCTATCAGAAAAGGAGGAGAACCATTAGCAGGTGATTGGGGGCAGTAATAAGCCCATCAGCATGCAAATGAACCTCGAGGATGAAAGGGGCAGGCTGGGGGGTGTGAGACCACAGCTGGGCCCCGATGGGGGTGTTAAGCTTCCCTCTCCCTGCGAATCCCAGATCTGAGTAGTAAGTGGAGGACAGGGAAGCAGGAGCCAGTGGTCGGAGCAGGAATGTGTAGTGAGGAAGGAGCTGCTTTGATTTTTTTTTCGGGGGGTAAGAAAGTCAAAGTCATCCTGATTGGGTTGTCGTTGCATTCCACAGGTGTCCACAAGCAAAGGAGTTTTCTCAGGAGTCCCATCAAAGACGTGAAGCTCTTCATGGATAACCCCTGGGGTCCCCCTTGAAGTAACAGGAAAACAACACCCAGAAATAAACACTGTAATAGAAGGAGTTTGATAGATGGTATCCTAGGTGGATCAGAACTGGGGTTTTTGCTATGGGGCTCTTCAATTCATGTTTTTTTTTTTTTTTTTTTTTTTTTTTT